CAAGACTCGGTCAAATTTATTATGATTTTGATGACTCCAGAACCTTGCAGTGCACACCAATACTTAGATGCTACATGATCAACTGTTTCTGATCCTTTCCACACCTTTTCTTTCACAATGCAATCGCATTACCAGTACTAAAGTTTAGCTTTAACACTCGTTTTCATAACTATTCGAGACATGACATGTTAGGATTTATGTTTCGCTTTTGGGATACAGATAAAATGGTACACAATGACAATATCTCTCTCCCTCCTTCAGCCATCCATCCAGTCTTTCTCTTTCTCCCCGCCTGTCTCCCGGCCCTTCTCTCCCTTCTCTCTCTCTATCTCCTCGATATTTTAATTTCCCTCTTAACATTCCTTCTCTCCCTCGCTCTAAACCACTCACTAATACATTTCTGCTTTGCTCTCCCACTCGCTCATATTTGTTGTTTCTCCCTCTTTCTTATTGATCTATTTCTTGTATTCACATCAAATGCTCCAACAAACTCATTCCATTGACGTACACCCTGAGTTAATCCCTCTCTTCATTCGTCCCCGGCCAGCTTATCGTGCATGTTGATGCCGGCCGGCACACCCCTCCCCAAAAATAATATGCAGTGTAAATTATCTAAGGAACTTGCAGTCATGGCAGTGGTTGTGCCAATGTGGGCTGCCCAGAAATAATATGAATGCGCCCCTCATATACAAACAGACACGCACATATGGCCGCACCCGTTCTTCTCTCGTGTGCGTGTGTGTGTGTGTGCGTGTGTGTGTGTTTTGGAGGGGGTACACATTTTGGCTCGTGGATATGACTTTGATACTTGTTCTCCTTATAATGCTTATGATGTCGCTTGATGATAAGCACATTTTTCGGACAAACATTTGTATTTTTGTGCTCACAATTTGATAGAATGTAACAAACTGATTTGTATGTTTTTTTCAAATATATACCATCTCTGAATGTTCAGTTGACATGATTTTGTTCATGAGTTGGAGGTAATAAACCTGTCTAATATACATTTTAAAGTTGGATATACCACACATGTGTATGGCGCAATTAAAATGAAAAGTATGGTTTACTCTTATATGGATGTCATTAAAATTATGTAACTTTTTTTTTTACCACACCATAAATATGTCCATTGTATTATTTTCTTGACAAGATGTATGATATATAATATCAAACGACGCAAAGAAAAGAAATTTTTAAACAATGTGATTGATAAGTCATTTCATGATATCCAAAACGAATGTTTTTTTGTTTTTTTTTACAGGAGGCGCATTTTAAGTGGAAAACACTGCACATGTTTCCGTATATGGCAATTGTCACATATAATTGCAGTAATAGTACATGGGCTGAAACTAACTGAAAAGGCCTCCCCCCCCCCCCCCTCCTCCTGTTTTCAATGTTTTCTGTATGTTTACCAGACAATATCGGTTGTTATGGTTCAATTTTTATCTAGCTTTATGTCTCATGGTACTTTTTGGGGGAAAGCAATCTTATCAACATTTCTTGCTGAATTTTAGCAGCAAGCGTTCAACGTTAAATACAACCATGACGTGGCAATGTATTATTTCAGGTCTGACTCATAATAATTCATTTCACAGTTGATTCCGCTTGGTTGATTCCACCAATCAGAGTGAACGACGATGTGTTATTTTTCTTATTTGTTCATCGTCTCTACAATGCATTTTGAATATTTTGATGACAATAGACATTGCGGTACTATTTATAAGGAACCATCACATGGCAGTCACTAGCCAGATAAAAAATTATCAGTACCAGGCTTTATAGTATGAAAGAAAGCTAAATTTGAACCCTAGGCTTTAACCCGCCCTCTCTCGCTCTCAACCTATAGTATAACCAGGGGGCGTTTCATGAAACAAGTAGTCGGTGGTTTTCACCCACTAATATCATTTTCACCAACAATGTTTTTGTCACTGATTATTTTCCAGGCCTCTGATTTGTCAAATTTAGTCAGCGCTGACAGTTATCGGCGGACAAAATGTTGATGAAACGCCCCCTAAGACGTGGCGATTTATTGTTTCATTTTGGACACACAATAAATAAAATTGATTCTACCCTGTTGATTCCACTGTTCAAAGGATTAATCATATATATATATATATATATATACGTATATATATATATATATATATATATATATATATACATAGAGAGAGAGAGAGAGAGAGAGAGAGAGAGGGCGGAACATTTTCACAGTTATTATTGTAATTATTGAATTGATTTTTTGTTGACAATAAACAACATTATGTGATTATTTCATGGTAAATGACATGACAATCTTATAGCAGATAAATTCATCATTTTTACCAGGTTTAATAATTTGAAAGTAAACTGAATTCGGACCCCGAGCCATTAAGCCACCCCCTCTCCCTCTCTCTCTCTCTCCCTCTCTCTATCTCTCTCTCTCAGTACGGTCGACGAAATATAAGTACCCTCTTGCCATCCCCTCCTTGATGCTACGCCAGTAATTTACAATATTATCTAGCTTATTCCAGTTAGTAAGTCTGACATTTGAAAAAAAGAATAACAAGAAGAAAAAAAATTACCCCTTTAAAATAGGATGATAAGGTATACACTATTTATAGATACCTTCTGTATAATTTTGTATGTATTAAAATTCGATTTCATATTATCAGTTTGTATATTTTGAGACGTTATTAAGTATTCTAATAGTAAATTTCATTATTTTTGCTTTGTTTTATTTTCTGAATTTATTTGCCCCAACAAACTTTAACTGAAAGGAGTACGGCCCGATATATCATGGTACTTTTTAGGGAAAAGCAATATTCGCATTGTTGATGAATTTGAGCAACAATCGTTGGCCATTGCTGCTCTTTAATACAACCATGACGTGGCAATTCATTCGTTCAGCTTGAACTCATAATAATTCGTGTCACAGTAGATTCTGGTCTGTTGATTCCATTGTTCGGGGGATTTAGCCGAGAGCTAAAAAGTATATTCTCACGATACCGACGATGTATTATTCTTATTCTTATTTCTTCATCGTCTCTTCAATTCTTTTTGAATATTTGTATGACAATAAACGAGATTGTGGTACCTGTTTGTATCGCCACATGGCAGATATTTTTTTCATCAGTACCAGGTTGAATAATTTAAAAAGGAAACTGAATTTGAACCCCGGACCACCCTAACTCCCTCCCCTATCTCTCTCTCTCTCTCTCTCTGTCTCTCTCTCTCTCTCTCTCTCTCTCTCTATCTTTATCTTTCTCTCTCAATAGAATTGGAGAAATGCACACGGCCTCTTTCTTTGGTAATGGAGTGGTAGTTGAGCAATTTCTCAATATGTTCCCATGAGGGTTTGGGGTTAACCCCCCCCCCCTTCATTTTTGTTATGTATGTGTTTTAGAGGAAACCCCCCCCCCCCACTTCGTTCTTTGTTTGTGTTAAAAAAAAAATTAAAAAAAATGTCCTCTCCCCCCGGCTTATTCAACGGCTGGCTGAGGCTTTGCGAAATTTTCGGCCCGATTTGAAATAGTTAAACCACCCCCCCCCTCCCCCCTTGAAAATATTATGCGTACGCGCCTGAGCTGACAACTCATGATATCGCGATTGAAGGTGCGATGATATTACCTATAACATTATTTATCTTTAAACTAAAAATATCAAGATCCAAAAAACATAACAAATGAGGCGGATGCACACAAAATGCCTCCGGGAAAGAGAAATTAGGAATACTTTAATCATCTCCCCTGAAAAAAGGCTCATCAAATGGTTCACGCATGATCAACCGTGTTTAGTGTAGTGAGGTAGTGGTGCGGTATGGTATGTAATACCGTGTGATTCTTTTGACAAAGTTGATTTTCTTTTGCTGTTTTGGCTTCAAAAGGGTCCCAATTGGCCAAAAATGATGGGGTTCAAATTTTCAGACCCTTCCTTCATTTCCCTGGGGGTCCATATTGGGCGCCAAAATTGCTTATATAAAGCGCAATAGGGAAATTTGGTGTCTTCGGGAAAATCAATTTCTGATAGCTTGGACCCCAATGAATCCAAAGGCCTACGGGAGCTGTTTCAGTGACATACCACACAGAATCGCTGGTACACAATTACGATTAATCTATATATCTCTCCTTTAGCCATTCATTCATTCATTCTCTCTCTGTCTCTGTCTCTCTCTGTCTCTCTCCCTCCCTCTCTCTAGCACTTAACATTTTAATTTCCCTCTTAGTGACTCTCTTTTCTTTTGAAATTCCTTTCCGTCCCCTCGCTCTCTCACTCGCTCATTCAATTATATCTAACTCTCTCTCCCTCAATTGATCTCTTTCTTTTATTCATGCCTAGTAATTCAATAAACTCATTCTCCTTCGCTCTTTCTCTCTTTCTATCTCTCCCTTTCATTGACGCACACACTCGGTTATTTCCTCTCTTCATTCTTCCCTATCCACGTTATCGTGTATGGCGTCGACGTTCACCTTCACCGTCCAAGCCCCCCCCCCCCCCCCTCGTGTTGGATGAGACAATTATTACAAAGGAAATGAGTCACTTGTCAAAGTAAAAGCGACACTTATCACAAATAAAAGGGGTCCTTCGTAAGAACGGGCATTTTCAGGTTTCTTGAAAAGTGGAGCAGTATGACACCACCCCCCCCCCTGGGAGTACTGCCTCTGGATATGCATAACGAAAAATGAAACCGGCAATACTTAAAATGCAGCAACTATGTTTATAGGCCATTGCATGGACAGTAATGTCTTGTTTTCCATGGTTGTGTTTATTTTATTATCATAGTTTTGGGTTATTAAGGTTTCTAATTACCTATACCTTGATCGTCAAGATCCTACTTCTCTACAACAATACTGATACTCTTAACATTTCGAAGCCCCCAATCTCGCATCCACACTGATAGAAGATAATTGCTACATGTCCATGATGAATGCAGACCTGTTGACATACAACATTTAATTATTGTCCCACTCTAATGTTCATAATACGTTTCTTAAACTTTAATCTTGATTATTTTCTCCACAGGTATGGCGGCTCATAAAGGTATTGCCGATGATCTTCTCTCCAAGCTGGCTGAAGACATCGAGACGGGTGAGCAGATGGAGGCCTTAGGACGAACGCTCGGATTCAGGGTCGCAGACATCAATAGATACACAGAGACCAATAGGATAGAAGGACGGGTGACTTGCAAGGGAACACGTGACATGCTGTTTGACTGGAGACAGACCGTGGAGCCCTGCGACCAGCATATCAGACTGAAACAAGGTCTCATTGACGCTGAGCTGGTCATGCTTGCTAGTACATATCTCAAGAGGACACCGATTATTCCAGGTGGGTCTAATAGTGCCATGCAGAGTGCTTTAAATCACCTCTTATACCTGTACAAACAAATTGAAAACATGAAATTAGAATATATCCATGAAATCTAATTTATGATGTTAAGTAACTTGTTTCTGTCCAATGATACCCTATTCATATTATTTAGTCCACGGGTGACTGAGCACCAGGGTCTTTAAAAAGTGTTGTCAAAATCATACCAAGTTTGGCATGATAGACCGAATGTAGGTCAACCATATTGCACGCGCTTTTTCGTTCTACTAACTTCATGTCTCATGGTAGCTAAATTATCTTTGCCAACTTGTCAACTGCGCCATTTCACACAAGTAAAGTGCGTATTGTGCTTTTCTCGAATAGCAAATAAAAGGTTACTAAACCCAAATGCAATAAAAACACATATTATGAGGTTAGGTATTACAGAAATGTACAGTAAACTTTCATTTAAAAATAACGTTCCAAATAAACTTAATCCATGTTGTATCACTCAATGAAAAGGGTTACCTAAAACAAGGGATGCGAATGAAGTCATGATTATATTATAATCATAACGAAGAAAGTATCATAAATTTAGTTTGTAATCTGTATTTTATTGGGTTCGATTAGATATTAATACTTTTTCATATCCACTGTTTATTAGTCAATGTAAATAAGTAAGCAATTGTTTTTTTTAACTGAGGTAACACACACATAATAGCTTTTGACTTTAATACGTTCATTGCCTCAGCCTAAACTTGGTAGATGAGAATTTTTACAAAACGCTTTAAAAAGCCTGCTGCTCAATCATCCGCGGTAGTACAATTACGAATATGGTATTAATTACCCAAGGACGGATCCGGATTGGGGGGGGGGGGGGGGGGGGAAGGGGTGGGGGCACAGGCGGCACGTGCCCCCCCCCCCCTGACCAAAAAATATGTTAAATCAGCCCTTAATTCACTCAAAATGTACTTAAAGACAGTGGCGTGCCACCCCGGCCCAAAACAAATTATTACAAATGTTATTACAAATTTTATTTAAAAAAATAGCCCAAAATATGCCAATGGCTGACCTAAAAAGGTGACCTTACCCCCCCCCCCCAACGGAGCACAATGTAAAATTTAAAAAATTCGTGACCCCCCCCCCCCCCCCCCCCCCCCCCCCCCCCCCCCCCCCAAAAAAAAAAAAAAAAAAAAAAGAAAAAAAAAAGAAAAAAAAAAAAAAAGAAAAGAAAAAAAAGAAGTGTCCTCTTAAAGGGGAATGAGGAACAGTCATGTCTGAACAATGAAACCTAATGTATTAAACAACAAAATATTAAAAAACTTAGCGAACTAAATTGGGTCGTGAGGAAAGGGGCTGAGATCATGGGAGTACAATACGTCACTTTGTCTCATATGCTTGCATCATTCCAGATATCCCCAGTAAGAATATCTCGCCATCATTGACCGTTCAACGATGTCGCGAAAAGTTGGAGAATAAGTACCTTAATCAATTATGCAAAATTCCTATGAAACCGTGGGATAAAAGTGACTATGCTGAGTTCAAAGATATGCACACGGTTGTCACAATGGTGACGAAGGACGCTCGTGGACAAGACACGAAAAAGAAGGAAATACTCCAGGGTTCTGTTGCTGACATTTTCTCGACGAAAGTAAACGGAAGACTGCCAGCTCGAATCCTCATTTCGGCCCCAGCTGGACGAGGGAAGACCACGGCTGTTGCTAAGATGGCTTACGATTGGGTTCACAGAGAAAAGGGGTCAGCATTAGAACATCTGCCTCTTCTGTTTGTTGTGAAATTCCGAAACACAAGGAGGCGTACCTCGATCGGAGAAGCAATTAAGGACCAGCTTTTGAGTGATGTTGATGATCTCACACCAGAGGGCCTGGAGAATTTCATTAGAGAGAATCAGGGAATCTGTCACATCATACTAGACGGACTAGATGAGTATGCCGGTATTTCTTCTTTAAACCGAAGCTCGGATAGCAATATCGTCAGAGTCATCCGCTGGGAGGAATTTACAGAGTGTCGGGTCCTTGTAACAACACGCCCTCACCTAGAGAACTTCTTCAATCAAGATGATCTTCCAACGGTATACACAAAGATGTGGATCGAGGGATTCTCGCAAGAGAGTTCACGAGTATACATCGACAAGTTCTTTGCTCCGACTTCAAATCCTTGTCGTGGACATGGACTGAAGGCTTACCTTGATGACCAACCACTTATTGATGAACTTGTCAAAACACCTTTATTTTGTCTCATGGTCTGTCACTTATGGAGCAAGGAGCTTTTGAACACTGAAACGTCAACTCAAACAGAATTATTCGACAGCGTGAATGCTTTTCTGATGCACCATGCCAATGCCCGATCACAATCAAAAGTCAAACAAATAACGGACGAAAATCTAGGCGAAATCATTCGTAACCTAGGTAAGGTTGCTCTTGCTGGTCTACTAGACGATTCCAAAAAGCTAGTCTTCACACCCCATGATTTCCGAAGAGTTCCCTCTATCCTTGATAGGGCATGCGAGCTTGGGATAGTATCCAAGATGACTGTTACAACCACAAGGCTCCAACGATCTCACAAGACAACTTCAATTAACGTTGAGTTTTATCACAAACTCGCTCAAGAACACTCGGCTGGGAAATACCTTGCTGCTAAAGCTAAATCGAGAAAACGTCAATGGCCCTGGCAGATTTCCAATTTAGACAGTGTATTGCTCAAGATCAACGCAAACATCGGTGACTATGAAAATCTCCTCCGATTCGCGGCTGGCACGGATAACAGCCTGTGTATACGAATAATGGAGGCGCTCCTTTCAAACAGTTCTCTTGATGAGAGCGAGCGATATCGCATTCTTCTTGACTGCTCATCAGAGACCAAGGGTACTGAAGGAAATGTGTCTTCGTTTGTTCAAAGATGCGTAACTGCACAGAGCATTGTTCTAAAGTCACCGACTGTCTACACCGTCGTTGGGATGCAAAATCTTCCAGACCAAATGAAACATGAGGTATGCTCATTTCCAAATAACCGGCCATTTGATTTTTTTTTAACTTTGTGAACAAAATACTAATAGAAATACAACAGAGAGGTTAAATTAGTTTACATTGTTTCGTTATGTATGTTATTTGTAGTTATTTGTCTATGATATGTTAATGTATTGTTATGTTTTATACAAATGTTAGCCGTAAGACGATTTATATGCCTTAATTTTAGTTTGTGCATGACAATAAAGAAATTCAATTCAATTCAATTATTCTGCCATAGATGTATATCAAAGAAGCTAAGTAGTTTATCATGTATTATTTATTGATAATTATAACCGCGTCTTACTTAGCCTTACGAATTAATTGAAGCACACAATGTATGTAACTTTCAAGGCTATATCCATTTACCCTATCGTATTGTTAATGTGTTTAATACATCATATTGCGTGATATAGGCCTTATGATCAAAACATATTGTTCATACGCAATATTAAAAAAAAAAACAGTATTCCGATATTGTCCAACTGCGGTCTAAAACAAAAAAATGCAATCCAGAAACAAATGTAATAATACAAATATAGTTAAATAAATCGTAAGGCCTACTCATTATAAAGGAAATGATGAGACGCATCAGGAGAATTATGTGAAACGACGAATCTATAGATCATAATTATGTGGAAGATTTCTTTTTTGAGAAAATTACTTATAAATGTTGTTTTTCATTATTCGAAAATAACTCATAATTTGTTTTGGTATGTAAAGGAGAGAGCTTTAAGAACTTACCAAAAAGTGTCAGATAAGATCAGGCTATAGTCTCGACTGCTTTAATATTCATCATACAATCATGACAACAACAATATATCAAATATATAGATCAAGTTCAAGTTCATTTATTCAAAACCACACAAAACATGATATTTTTACATAAACAAAGAGACTGGTAAATGGTAATAGTACATTAATCAACATATATTAACTTGATTACATCATTAAATGAATGTTTTTTTAGGACCTCTGTAGAAGCTAAGCTTGTGAGCGGGGCCCTATAAGTCAACAAAATATATACATTAATGATATGGCAAGGTGAATAAAAATAATGTAATTTTTATACAAGGGATGAAAAAAACTAAGCTACAGGATATAGAGCACACAAAATATCAACACACACACGCACGCACACACACACATAAAACACACTGCTAAGTAGGTCCTAAGTGGTCTATAAGCATTTGAGAATGAGAGATTATTAAGATACAAAGTAGAATTATGTCAGTCTTCCAAGTAGGTACGTTTTAGATAACTTTCTAAACCTAGAAAGAGTTGTACTATTTTTTATATCATCAGGCAAACTGTTCCATTCTTTGATGCAAGAGATATGGAAAGAGTTCAGAGTGATATTTGTTCTTGCAAAAGGCTGATGAATAAGACCCCTTTGACGTGTATAATAACTATGAATTTGTGAGTTTTTACGGAATAAATCTTTTAACGTACATTGATGAGGCATAGACTGAAGTTTAAACAAAAACAATACGCAGTTGAACGACACAAATCCACCTAGTGGTAACATTCTTAGTCGAAGGGACAATGGAGAACTTGGATGTCTATAATTATAATTAGTAATAAGCCTTATTGCCTTCTTCTGCAATACTCTCAACTTATTAAGATATGACATTAAACTAAAAGTGTTTCCCCAAGCAACATTACAATACGTCAAATAAGGAAGAATAATACTATTATATAATGTTATCAGCACTCTTTCAGGTAAGAAGAATTTTAATCTAAAAATGACACCTGCAATTCGGGATAACTTTAATAGTGCATACAACATCCAAGATAATTGCTCATCCATTGATATCTATATCAACTAATTGGTGTTATTTTATTCGTACAATCTTTCTTTAATTCTCTCTCTACCTTTATCTCTCTCTAACTCACTCTCGATATCTCTCTCTATAAAATCCTCTCTCTTCCCTATTATCTTTCTCTCGCTCTCCCCCTCTCTCTCCCTCACTCTCTCGTTCTCTCTTTCTCTTAACACCAGGTGACGAATGTAAAGTTCGAGGGATCTACTCTAACTACCGACGTGACGAGTGGACTATGGCCATGCCTCAGATCATTTTCGATGCTACGTACTCTCACCATCACAGACTCCTCTCTCAGTTTCCACCCATCTACCCATGAGCTTCCATCCGTCGAAAAGCTATCAGCCGAGAGAGTGACGTCACAAAGCTACGAAGGTCTGCTCTCATCGCTCCCTGGCTTGACACATATCGATATCACTATCGATGATGCAGAGAGAGACATACCTCAGATCACGGCTGGTCTTCGTCGGACCGGAGGACAGCAGCTCACATACATCACCATTACAGCACCGGACTCACTCGCATCAGAGAAGCAGAGTGTATCGAGAGATACGGTGAGAGGACTGGGTCTTCTGATTAGAGAACAAACCAAGAACCTGCAGCGGCTAGATCTGAGAAGGGTGAAGTGCACAGACGAGGAAGACTTGGTTTACCTCATCGAGTGCTGCAGACGGGTGAAGACGATGTCATCCGTGTGGTAGGTTCTTGTTCAAATCGTGTATTAAATAGATTAAAATCCTACTAGATCTAGATTATTCTATTCAGTTACTTTGCAGTAAGCATAATGATACAAATGCGTGAAAAGATGCAAAGGTTAAAACGTGGGTGTAATAGACCTAGATCTACATGTAATTGATCGACGTCCTGGGGAGGATCTAAACAAGTTCAACCAAGCCCCCCCCCCCCCCCCCCCCACCCCCCGTGTCTACGTGCCTGAATATCTTTGACAATATATTTTTTTATAAAAGGCTGAATCACTTTTGCCTTTAAACTGATGCTCGTGAGCTGTTTCATCGAATCAAATTTAGCTAGAATCGATCTTGATAAATTTTAGGTTAAACAAAGGGCTCTGTGATCAAGGCTAGTCGATGTTACTTAGGTCAACCACAAAAATGCGTCGCTAAACTACTGCAAGAGAGGTCCTCAAAAAGTGAGTTAATTCCATTTTCTTCTAAAATATTCATTCTGTTGAAAACAAATTTTGGTGGAAGGAAAGTATTCTTCTCATTTTTAACCGAACGATATTTGACATAAATATCAATACTAGTAATAATAGGGTCTAGCGTTCCCCAACTTCTGAGCTAAAAATAAGATGGACGAATTGCATTGGTTTGCCCATTTCCGTCCCATTCATTACATCCATGCATGTCAAACTCTACTTGTCTATTGACATTGAATATTTGGTTATGACAGGTCTGAATTCATTAGGAAATATAGTTTATTCTTGCGTTTGATGACAAAATAAATAAGTCCACCACGGCTTTAGAAATCATCGCGTTGAATGGCCGCCGATAAAAAGTCTAGTGCGTAGAATCTAGGCCTAGGCTATAAATTGAGGTTAAGGCTCAGTTTCCAAATCTAGACTAGATCTAGGCCTACTTTGTTATTTGCCGGTAGGCAGTGCGGTAGCCCCTTTTTCATGTTGATAATAACATTAACAATCGACGGGGTCATTGTTTTAACGTTAACATTTTATGAAAGAAAAAAAATTGTCTCCACAGTTTCAGACCCAAGACCCAGTTAGATCTTGATTAAGAATAAGATCTTAATGTAGATTTGGTCTGCATCATTATACTAGATCTAGGGACTTAGGGTCGATGTAGTCTAGACCTAGTCTCTACACTGCACCTTTTGTGTGTAGGATTAACTTAGATACATCAGAATTTAGAGTTAGTCCCTTAGTCCTAGATCAGCTAGACTACTTGTATGTTTGTGAGATCTAAATTAAACAGGAGTTAGATCTAGTCCACATCTAACGGTAACAAATAAGATTTTAGACTAGATATAGAATGTTATGTACAGTAGTAGGCTCATGTATCGAGCTCTATATTGTGTTTTTCTTCATTTTATTTTTCTTTCAGAATCAGAGATGTAGTAGACATGGACTCTTGAGTCATATCCAAGAAATAGACCTCTATAGTCTTCAACGTCTCTCATCCTACCTCTGCCCCGAGGAAAGGATATGGATCTGCATAATGTAATCTGATTCAAGGTGTACTGCAAGATCCTACCATACTAAGTGGCCTTTTGATGTGATTATCTAACACCGACATGAAATAAGGGTGAGGTTCTTTTTCTTCTTCATGTTCTAGACCTACATAGAAATAAAGTACTAATTTTTTGTTCAGTTTATAGTCTTTTATATTCATTTATGATAAAGGGTTAAGATACCGGATATTGGATTTTTCAATAAAAAACTTAAAATGTTGTGTGTTTTAATCTAATAGGAAGCCAACCATGACAGGTCAAAAACATAGATACTTGATCCGCCAGATTTTGATCGATTGTGCATAGAATAGGGCAACAGTGAAAGTATAAAGATGTGATTGAACAAACTCTAATTAGCATATTCATGATGTAAGCTGTTTTCTGTTCGTTATATACCATTTAAGGCATCTCTTTTACTTCTATTCCCCAGAGAGTAGTTTTAATCAAACTCTGTACAATAGGGTTCGGTTCAAGATCAGAGTATCCATGATTAAGATTTGACCGTTGTTAGTTTGATATTACAAATAAAAGCTCTAGTTCAAGATCAAGACTTTAAAGAAATGTTTGGGATCATAGTCAAAAGCAAGATAAGTCCAGAGTGTATTAGAAGTTTCCACATTACACAGTCCACCACAATGTGTTGGACCAAAAACATTTTAATTACAATTAGAATCACTGACGAAAATATGCTTCTGTTCAGTTGAACACATTAGATTAGGTAAAGTGACAACTATTTTTCTGAGAAATATATTTGCTCTCTTCATGAAATATTTTTATCTCTGTTTAAAATCTTAGGTTGCAAAGTAAAGAGCTGTAGCATCTACATGAACTACAAAACTCATGGAATCTGGACTTTCATACCTAAGGTCTTATCCATCTCTTCAAGTTGTAAAGGTAAGGGGTTTCAGTTTATACATAATTGATCGTATTAGTATGTTTTGTGCCTGTCATCATTGCCATGCCCCTACAGTAATCAATAGGTGAAAGTACAGTTCTCATAGTCCTTTTTAGAGGTCTAATTCCGATCTTACCCAATCTATTGTATAAAACCATGCACAAATGGTTAGGAAAAAAATATTTTTGTCCAAAGCCTAAAAATATATTATGTTTTATCTCTTCTAACTAAAACTGCTTTCGTATCAATATTTTTAAAGAATATTCTTCATCCTTGTACTTCATTTAGTTTCCAATCAAAGAAATTGACATGACCAGAAATACAAAAGGTGTATTAAAATAGATTTACAAATTACACTAGTATTTATTAATGTTGTGATTACATAACTTTTAATTCCAAATTCTAGACTGCAGAGTCTGAATCCCCTGCAACATAATGCTTCATATGGAACATCAGCCAGCCTACATATACAAGTTCCCTTTCCAGCTCCAAGCAAGAGGGACCATAATGCTTAACAGTTCGTGGACTTGTCGCTTTTTTAACTACGACTTCCAATGAAACAGATTTTCAAATTAATTCATCTGAAGGTATTACAAATGCTTCAGTCAGGGTACCATCGGTTTGCCATCAGTTTGCCATGAGTATGGGATTATTGGTTTGATAAAATTCATCAAGTAAGGTCTAAAGGAACTAAGATTTTCAATGATACTTCCAAGAATTCTATTATTTTTAAATAGAATGTCAGAATCTTGCGGAAGAAAGAGCAAAATACTAGTTATAGGATAAAGGATAAAACTAAAGTCATTATCCATATTAAGTTAGCGCTGCTATTTCAGCCTGCACTTTCGAGAAATATCTTATTAAGGGTTGTTGCTGATTTTAAAATCTATGATTCTGTCATGGAGGTTTACTGTTTTTAAACTTACTTTACATAGACAAATCCGTTCATGGTGATGAATCTTAAAATATCAAATCGGAAATTTCAAAGGGGCAAATTAATCTGAGCAGCAGTGGATAAATTTGAGGGCCTATTTGGAACTCTCCCTAGAGGTTTTGTTGGCATGACCAGGCGCGTACGCAGGATTTCTTCAAGGGGGGGGGGGGGGGGGGGTTTTAACATTTATAAATCGGTCCGAAAATTTCGCACGACTCAGCCAGCCGCTGAATAAGCGGGGGGGGGGGGGGGGGGGGGGGGGGGGGGGGGGGGGGGGGG